AAGAATTTCCTGTAAAGTAGCCCGATCTTTATGAGCTAGTAAAATATCATCCATATAATGAATAAGATATAGATCTGAAAATTTCTTTCTAATAACTTGCAATGCCTGATCTACAAACTTTTGACATAATGTAGGACTATTTTTCATCCCTTGTGGGAGAACCTTCCATTGGTATCTCTGATAAGGCTGTTTAAAGTTTTCTGATGGTATGCTGAATGCGAATCTTTGACAATCAGCTGGGTGAAGAGGTATAGTGAAAAAACAATCCTGTAAGTCAATAACAACAACACAATACTCCTGTGGAATTGCCACAGGGGAGGGCAATCCAGGTTGTAAGGAGCCCATATCTTCCATGGTGGCATTTATGGCTCTTAGATCTTGCAAAAGTCTCCACTTGCCTGATTTCTTTCTTATTACAAATATGGGTGTGTTCCAGGGACTATTTGATGGCTCTATATGTCCCTCTGCTAATTGCTGATCAATTAATTGTCGGGCTGCTGATATTTTCTCAGATGTTAAGGGCCATTGCTCAACCCATACTGGTTGTGACGATTTCCAGACTATGGGATCAGCAGTCCTAAGGGCAATGGCCCCAATTACAGATCCTGTCGAGGAGTGTGAGGTATTACTTTCCTTTCCTAATCCCTTTCCTGGATTAAATCTCGTGTCTAGCATCTGTGATGTTACTCTATCACTGGGGCTATATAATACAACTCCCATTTGAGACAAGATATCTCTTCCCCATAATGTAAAGGGGATAGTCGTAATTACATAGGGACAGACTGTTCCTGAATGGTGATCTTCATCAGCCCAAGTTATAATCTGAGAACTCTTTTTTACATTAGATGCCTTGCCTAGTCCTACTAGGGAAGTGGAGGTGGTGTGCGTGGGCCATGAAGAGGGCCAATCCTTCCCTGCTATGCAGGAAACATCTGCTCCTGTATCCAATAGACCTTCAATTGGTTTTCCCTGAATTTGTAAAATTTTTGTAGGTCTAGTAGCATGGATTTCTTGTATCCAAAATGCTGCATCACTAGATCCAAAGCCTCCGGCCCCTCTAGCTTCCTGGGTAACAGCTGTCCCTATTTTATGTATTGGTAACAGGATTAATTGGGCAATTCTCTGGTTGGGCTGAATCTGTATAGTTGTGGTGGGTGGGGAAAGTAAAATCTGTATTTCTCCTGTGTAGTCTGCATCAACAACTCCTGGGATGACTAAGATCCCCTGTAACGAGGTGGAGCTCCGTCCTAATATTAAACCTACAGTTCCCTCAGGCAGTGGCCCAGACACTCCTGTAGGAATGGCTGGTACTGGCGAGTCTGGGGTTAGTACTGCATGGGTGGTTGAGTGGAGGTCCAATCCTGCACTGCCTGGGGTTGCCCTGAAGAGGTCACTGACTGATCGAAATTTGCAAAGGGGTTGAAGGTTGATGCCCCTATTATTGCAGGGGCCTGGGGCTGGCCCCTTCTCAAGTTTCCCGATTGAGGTGATGGGATATAACCTCCTTGGGAGCTATTTGTAGAGTTTAAAGGCCGACCATTTTTATGGTATCTTGATCTACATTCCTTTGCCCAATGGAATCCTTTCTGACATCGGGGACAAACGGTTTTTGGAGGATTAATATTATTCCCTAATGTATTTCCAGGCTGTCGAGGAGCTTGCCATCTGGCCTGAGTATTATTATTTTTATTTGGGCATTCTCTGCTAAAGTGCCCAGATAAGCCACAAGAGTAGCAGTTCATATTTCTTTTATTACCTGTAGTATTGCTGGCTTGTCCTATAGCCTGTACATATTGAGGGTATGTCTCCCCTTTGAGAGCTGCAGCTATAGCTACACCCTGTATAAATGCTGGACTTACATCAGCACACTGTTTTATAAAATCATTTATAGTTCCTGTTCTGCGAATTGGCCTTAATAAAGCCTGACAGGTATTATTAGCATTTTCAAAAGCCAGTTGTTTGATTAGGATATCGGCTGCCTCTTTGTTATTGATTACTCTCTTGACTGCCTGTATGAGGCGAGAAAGGAAATCCTGATATGGTTCCTCGACCTTCTGTTTAACCTCTGTAAGGGTGGTTGTTTCTCCTGCTGTATAAGGTAGGGATTTCCAGGCACTTACTGCACAACTGGTTACTTTGGTAAGTGCCTCTGTGGGCATATTCATTTGCTCCTCAGCCGTGTTAAAATCACCTTCTCCTAATATCATGTCTAGGGTTATTCCTTTTCTGGTTTTTTCGCTAGTGGCTACAGCTTTCTTAGCAAGATCTTCATATTCAGTTTTCCATAATAAGTAATCGCCTCCTGAGAGACAGGATTTACAAACCTGTGACCAATCATAAGGAGTCATCCATTTACTGGCTAGGGTTTCTACCAAGGTTTGTGTGTAAGGAGCTAGAGGTCCATATTCAGAGCAGGCCAATTTTAATTCTTTAAGTACTTTGTAAGGTATAGGCTCCAAGGTGGGGTTTCTATTCCCACCAGACTCATTCTCATATGTAACTGGGAAGCAGAGTGAGAATTCAAGATCTCCATTAGCTTCAGCTTCTCTTATGGCCCTTTGAAATTTAGACATGGAGCTCATAGGAGCCACAGGACCTGGTTTAGGCTTCCTTTCTAATTTGGGGAGCCTGTTTTGAATGGGAGGGCCATTCTCCTCTCTACTGACTGGAAAGGACCAATGGTCATGTTTATGATATTTATTCTCCTCCCGATCACTAGGCATAGCTAAATTGCTTTTAGATTGAGCTGGAGACAATGATGATGTATCCTCTCTGGGTGGAGCCGAGGGACTATTTAAATTTTGAGAAAGTTCAACCGTTTTTGCCTCTGGTGCCAAGGTTTCACAAATTGAATTCCAGAGAGAAAAGGTAACTGCCGGGACCTTCTCAGATCCATGGTAGCTGTAATAGTTCTTTAATTGCTCTCCTACTTTAGTCCAAGTTTCTAAATTAACAGTTCCATCCTCAGGAAGCCATTCACATACGTCTTCTATAAAACTTTCTGTCTGACTGGGAGTAACCTTAACTCCTCTGCTAGCAAGCATATGCGTTAAAAGATTAATACAGAGTCTTTTTTCTTTAGACTCAGTATGACCCATCTTGTCAATCTAAGTTCTGTACTAACTACCCGCTTACCCTACTTATCCTCTATAGGGGGGGTCTGAAGCACCCTACGGTGCAGTCCTATCCGTCCCAAATATGGGGGGACTTACCTAAGGGAACCCTGTTCGGGCGCCAGATGCCGGGGTCCAACCCCAGCAGGTCCAGGGGTCCCCAAAGGTGTAGACGGAGTCAGCAAAGAAGGAATGACACGGAGACAACGTTCAGTTGATCAGCAGCCTAGCCAGGATCTCTAGCCAGGATCTCCAGCCAAGTTCTGGTCTGGATCTCCAGCGAAGTTCTGCTGTTTATTGTCTTGTTACATCCATATTTATACCAGTTGATTTTAATCCTGTCAATTTCTATTACAAAGGTTAGGGCGTTTCTTATCTCCATTCCAGGGAGTAAAGATTATGTAGCTTAAGCATGATTGTTTGTAGTGATTAACTACCCGCCTGGCACTTAGTTAAGGAGTTTCATCCCCTCCCTGACTTCAGGGAAAAATTCCTACCTGGGGAAACAAGCTTTCTAGGAGAGGCATCCCCTCCCTGACTTCAGGGAAAAATCCCTACCTGGGGAAACAAGCTTTCTCGGAGAGGTGACCTTGGTTAAAACACACAGCGCTAAGGGGAGCAAACATATTAAGAACAGTATGCTATATACGCCAGGTCCCTTGAAACATATGCTGTGCAGATGTTTCTTTCCTGCAGTGACTGTGTCAAGCAGCAAGGATGGACCAGCTTCCGGCAGTACCTGGCCAGTCTGGGTGAGGGGCTGAGGGCCGTTTTCAGGTTGGCCTGTGACTGAAGCTCCCAGCCTCTCCTTTTTTTCTTTTTTCTTTTATTCTGTGATTTATTTACCTTCTATAATTGAAATTCTGTTGCCTTCACTGGCACGCCCAGCTCTAGCTGAAAGCAGGTATCTGGGATTTGTTTAGCTTCTATAATTGAAACTTTGTTGCTTTTGGAGCTGTTGCTTTTGGAGCTTAGAGCAGGCCACGGCAGGTGGGGAACCTTGGCTTCCTCCATCACTGGAGCAAGCAAACCTCCTGCTCGCTTCAGCTGCCTGGCTGCAGGCCTCCATCTTTGTTGGCAGTTAATTTGCATATCTCGCTGATTAGTGAATGGGAAGCTTAATGGAGGTAGGGTTAATTACCCTTTTTGTCTTTTATTAGATAGGATATGCAATATTTACTTTGCTTGCCATTTGACATGCCTCATAAAACACAAAAATCAATTTTATGCTAAAAAGGATTGAATTTCACAAGTAGAGAATACATTGTCACAATTAAAAATTCTCTTCATAGTCCTAATAACTTGGTGGTGACTCCTTATTCCTATCATCATTATTGGTTGATTCCTTTTATCATCATGGGCTCTATTATTGCTATTTTTTCTTCATCAAATCTCAAATTTATAAAACTACTTTAAAAGTGAAGCAATTATTGATTTCAGGGAGGAAGGGAGAGGGAGAGAGAGATGGAAACATCAATGATGAGAGGGAATCATTGATTGGCTGCCTCCAGCATGCCCCACACTGGGGGTTGTGGGAACCCAGGCATGTTCCCTGACTGGGAATTGAACCAAGACCTCCTGGTTCATAGGTCCAGACTCAACCACTGAGCCACGCCCTTCAAGCATTGAAGCAATTTTGCAAAACATTTCCACAATGCAGGGGAAAGATTCTGATCAATCACAAACTTAAAGAACGATAGGGGAGTCACAGGGTTTCTGACATGTTTAAAATTTCTTTTCTTCTTTTACATAAGTTCCTCTCCCCACAACTCCCCAACTGAGTAGTGACTTGTTTTCATATACTTTGATTTTTTTTTTAAATCAAGTTACAGGATTGGTATGACTGTTGTCTTGAATGCATAGGTTCTTTTTGAAGTAGTTTCATCACTATATTCTACTGATAAACTTATCACAACTAACTTCTTCTATCAGATAACCAAATGCACTCAGAGCTACAGTAAATGTTAAAATATCAAAATCCATCCTCTGAAGATTCTGCTGATAGTCAGCATTGAAGGAAGTAGGCCTCTGTGATCCATCTTCAGCATAGTCAACTTTTAGAGAAAACTAACAGCATGTGGCCAGTTGTTACTGTATTTTTCTGGGCCAAACAGTATGTGGGGAGGAGGGAAGAGGGTACAAGAATAAAGAACTGTGTATGTGACCAGTAGCACATTTTCCAGGAAGATACGCCTGCTACAACCAGACAAAGGGAGGTGGAGACAACTAGAAAAGGCCTCAGCCCATTTTTTTTTTTAATTCATTCATTCTTTCATCAGTTTTTTAAAATATATTTTATTGATTTTTTACAGAGAAGAAGGGAGGGGTATAAAGAGTTAGAAACATCGATGAGAGAGAAACATCGATCAGCTGCTTCCTGCACACTCCCCACTGGGGATGTGCCCGCAACCAAGGTACATGCCCTTGACTGGAATCGAACCTGGGACCCTTCAGTCCGCAGGCCGATGCTCTATCCACTGAGCCAAACCGGTCAGGGCAGCCTCAGCCCATTTAAAAAAGAATAACCCAATAGGAGACAATAAGCCCTAGGTGACTATGGGAAAAACTGCTAACCCCATAGTACTCAGCCAATGAGGAACCAGAGGAGGGACTCTCCCAGCCTAGGGATAAATAGCCTGTGATCATTACTCCAAGTGTGCCTGTTCAACCAGACACCTGCTCCTGCAAGACCGTATTAAAAGTCTCGTTTCCACCATACTTCATGTTTCCGATCTGTTATTTGAATTCGGACAGGTGAGCATTTCTCACAAGCATGAAACACTGCTTCTGGACTCTGCAGGCTTTCACAAATCACCTGCATTGTTCTTCAAGCTCCTATATTATACCTGGAGCAATCAAGTAGTTTTCCACATAGTGGCCGTAATTCAATTACTGCTGGTAATTCATCCCTAGAACGATATTGCAATGCAGACAGGTCTGGCTGGTTCTCCGATCTGGATCTGGGCCTGCTCCCAGGACCCTCTTCCTCTGTGGGCTCTGTCAACCATCTGGAGATTTCTGCCAGCCTGCCAGCCGGGCTTCCTTGGCTGCCACCATCGGACTTTCCCTGGCCTCTCCAGGCCATGCCTGGGCTGGTCCTGTCTCTCGCCTCCTACCTCCGCCTGTGGGTCACTGCCTCGCTTTGTGCTGTGTCCATCTGTGGGACACTACTGTCTATGGGCTACCTGGACATCTCAGACCGGTCTCAGCTCCGCTGCTCCAAGAAAAATTGGAATAACCACAAAGTGCAATTACAGGTGTGCACGTGGTGCACATGCGCTAGCACTAAGTGCACAGATAAATCCTGTGTGCAAACCTGTGTGCACGAGGATGCATTCTACCAATTATACTAAGAGTTCTGCGCATGTGTCATCCCCAGGAGCCACCTGTGGACCCTTCAGTCCACAGGCCAACGCTCTATCCACTGAGCCAAACCGGCCAGGGCAACATTTTTTTAAATTATTTTTTATCGAATTTGAGAGAGAGAGAGAGAGAGAGAGAGAGAGAAAGGGAGGGAGGGAGAGAGTGTGAGAGAGAAACATTGATTTGTTGTTCCACTTATTTGTGCATTCATTAGTTGATTCTTTTTTTTTTTTTTTTTTTTTTTTCATTTTTCTATCTTTTATTTTTTTTTTTAATTTTAATTAAATCTTTATTGTTCAGATTATCACATTTGTTCCTCTTTTTCCCCCCCATAACTCCCCTCCTCCCGGTTCCCACCCCACTCTCCGCCCTCACTCCCCACCCACTGTCCTCATCCATAGGTGCACGATTTTTGTCCAGTCTCTTCCCCCATCTCCCACACCCCTTTCCCCCCCAAGCATAGTCAGTCCATTCCCTTTCTATGTCCCTGATTCTATTATAATCACCAGTTCATTCTGTTCATCAGATTATTTATTCACTTGATTCTTAGATTCACTTGTTGATAGATGCATATTTGTTGTTCATAATTTGTATCTTTACCTTTTTCTTCTTCTTCCTCTTCTTAAAGGGTACCTTTCAGCATTTCATATAATCCTGGTTTGGTGGTGATGAACTCCTTTAGCTTTTCCTTATCTGTGAAGCTCTTTATCTGACCTTCAATTCTGAATGATAGCTTTGCTGGATAAAGTAATCTTGGTTGTAGGTTCTTGGTATTCATCACTTTGAATATTTCTTGCCATTCCCTTCTGGCCTGCAAAGTTTCTGTTGAGAAATCAGCTGACAGTCGTATGGGTATTCCCTTGTAGGTAACTGAGTTTCTTTCTCTTGCTGTTTTTAAGATTCTCTCTTTGTCTTTTGCTCTTGGCATTTTAATTATGACGTGTCTTGGTGTGGTCCTCTTTGGATTCCTTTTGTTTGGGGTTCTCCGCGCTTCTTGGACCTGTAAGTCCATTTCTTTCACCAGGTGGGGGAAGTTTTCTGTCATTATTTCTTCAAATAGGTTTCCAATATCTTGCTCTCTCTCATCTTCTGGCACCCCTATAATTCTGATGTTGGTACGCTTGAAGCTGTCCCAGAGGCTCCTTACACTATTCTCGCATTTTTGGATTCTTTTTTCATTTTGCTTTTCCGGTTGGGTGTTTTTTGCTTCCTCGCATTTCAAATCATTGACTTGATTCTTGCGCTCCTCTGGTCTGCTGTCGGGAGTCTGTATAATATCCTTTATTTCAGTCAGTGTATGCTTAATTTCTAGTTGGTTCTTTATCACAACATCGAGGGTCTCATTAGATTTCTTGAGGATCTCACTACATTTATCGGCGGCTTCTAGACAGTTCTTGAGAGACCTTAAAAGTGTGGTTCTGAACTCAATATCCTCCATTGACAGTTTTGTCCTGTTTCTTTGTCTCCGCATTTTGTTATGCTTCCTTGGTGCACCCCCTAGTGGTCTTTGTGCGAAGTCTTATAGTTAAACCTTGTTGTAGCTAATACCAGGGAGGGTTTGACCTCCAGGCCAATTGGCTATGAGAATCAGCTGTGTCAGCAGTGAGAGAACTTCTGTCCTCTAGGGAGGTGCTAATCTAGCCTTTGCCTGAGGCTATCCGGCAAATGCCTGTGTGCAGGGCTTGGGCGGGGCGGGTCGCACAGGATCAACAGGGTGGGCCGGAGAGAGCAGTTATGGCGGCTCTCAGTCCTGTCCCCAGGGGCTCCGCCTCTCTGAGTCCCAGCACCCGCTGCAAAGCTCGGAGAGAAAGCTGCACTCGCTCTGACCGAAGCCAGACAGTCCCGCTTCTCCCGTTTGAGTCAGGGTCCCTAGAGACTCGCCCGTATCTGGAGCTCAGAGTCTGCGACTCCCTCCCGATTGAAAACGCCAACCGCGCCCTCCGCCGCCAGCCCGCTCAGCGCACTCCGCACCTCAGAATTTGACTTCAGCACTGTGCCTCCTCTGAGTGTCCGTATGCGTTTCTCTTTCCTCCTAGTTGTGGGACTTCCACTCAGCCAGCGTTCCTGTGGTTCTTGGTGATGTCCGTTCTGTCTTTTAGTTTCACTTTTGAAGTAGTTGTTCAAAGCAGCAAACTCCGGCGTTAACCTATGCCGCCATCTTGGTTCTTCATTAGTTGATTCTTGTATGTGCTCTCACTGGTGACGAATCCACAACCTTGGCATATTGTGACGATGCTCTAACCAACTGAGCTACCCAGTCAGGCATAGTGAAAACATTTAATACCTACTCTCTTAGCAATTTTCAAGTATATAATACAGTATTGTTAATTTTTAAAAATATATATTTTTGTATTGATTTCACAGAGGACGGGAGAGAGAGAAAGAGATAGAAACATCAATGATGAGAGAGAATCATTGATCAGCTGCCTCCTGCATACTCCACACTGGGGATCAAGCCTGCAATCTGGCATATGGTCTGACCAGGAATTGAACCATGATTTCCTGGTTCATAGGTCGACACTCAACACTGAGCTACACTGGCTGTGTCCAGTATTGTTAATTATTATTGCCATGATGAACATTAGATCCTCAGAATCTATTCATCTTACAATTGAACCTTTGTTCCTTTGGCCAACATTTCCCCATTCCTCCCTCTTCATCACCCCCCTGCCAATTCTACTTTCTGCTTCTATGAGTTCATTTTTTTTAAGATTCTACATATAGGTGATATCATATAGTATTTATCTTTCTCTGTCTGATTTATCTCACTTATCATAATGCTCTCAAGGTCCATCCATGTTGTTCTAAATGGCAGGATTTTATTCTTCCTCATGGCAGACACAACACTATTCTATTGTGTGTGTGTGTGTGTGTGTGTGTGTGTGTGTGTGTGTGTAAAGTTCTATATCTATCTATCTATCTATCTATCTATCTATCTATCTATATCACATCTTCTTTATCCATTCATCTGTACTCAGAAACGTACCCGAGAACAGCCACACCGCGAGCTGGAGATGCCGCCGCGCCCTGCTGGCCCGTCCCAGGAGTGGGGCCAGGCTTCGATGGAAACACGCCTCCTCCCTGAAGGTGGCCAACAAGCCCATCTTGGCGTTCACCAAGGGCAGCCCTGAGCGAGATGCACTGCAGAAGGCCTTGAAGGACCTGAAGGGCCAGACCGAACCCATCCCATGCGTGATGCGGGATGAGGAGGTGTGGACCTCAAACGTGCAGTACCAGGTGTCCCCCTTTAACCATGGACACAAGGTGGCCAAGTTTTGCTATGCAGACAAGGCCCTGCTCAACAAAGCCTTTGAGGCCACCTTGGCCTCCAGAAAGGAGTGGGACCTGAAGCCTGTCACAGACCGGGCCCAGATCTTCCTGAAGGCAGCAGACACGCTGAGCGGGCCGGGCAGGGCAGAGGTCCTTGCCAAGACCATGGTGGGACAGGGTAAGACAGTGATCTAAGCAGAGATCAAAGCGGCGGCCGAGCTGATGGACTTCTTCCGATTCAACGCCAAGTTTGCTGTGGAGCTGGAAGGGGAGCAGCCCATCAGCGTGCCGCCCAGCACCAACAGCGTGGTGTACTGGGGCTGGAGGGCTTTGTGGCGGCCATCTCCCCTTTTAACTTCACTGTGATTGGCGGCAACCTGGCGGGGGCGCCGGCCTTGATGGGCAATGTGGTCCTTTGGAAGCCCAGCGACACGGTCATGCTGGCCAGCTACGCCGTATACCGCATCCTCCGCGAGGCTGGCCTGCCCCCCAACATCATCCAGTTTGTGCCAGCTGATGGGCCCACATTTGGGGACACGATTACCAGCTCAGAGCACCTGTGTGGCATCAACTTCACAGGCAGCGTGCCCGCCTTTAAAAACCTGTGGAAGCAGGTAGCCCAGAACCTGGATTGCTTTCGCACCTTCCCACGCCTGGCCGGAGAGTGCAGAGGGAAGAACTTCCACTTTGTGCGCCGCTCAGCGGACGTGGACAGCGTGGTGAGCGGGACCCTGCGCTCAGCCTTCGAGTACAGTGGCCAGAAGTGCTCAGCCTGCTCCCGCCTCTACGTGCCTCACTCGCTGTGGCCTCAGATCAAAAGCGACTGCTGGAGGAGCACAGCAGGATCAAAGTGGGCGACCCTGCAGAAGACTTCGGGACCTTCTTCTCTGCAGTGATTGATGCCAAGTCCTGGCTGGATCACGCCCGCTCCTCGCCCAGCCTCACTGTCCTGGCGGGCGGCAAGTGTGACAACTCTGTGGGCTATTCGTGGAGCCCTGCATTGTGGAGAGCAAGGACCCTCAGGAGCCCATCACGAAGGAGGAGATCTTTGGGCCTGTGCTGACCGTGCACGTCTGCCCAGACAAGTACAGGGAGACACTGCGGCTGGTGGACGGCACTACCAGCTACGGCCTCACGGGAGCAGTGTTCGCCCAGGATAAGGAAGTTGTCCGGGACGCCACCGAGATGCTGAGGAACGCTGCCGGCAACTTCTACATCAACGACAAATCCACTGGCTCGGTGGTGGACCAGCAGCCCTTTGGGGGAGCCCGGCCAGCAGCCCTTTGCGGGAGCCTGAGCCTCTGGAACCAACGACAAGCCCGGGAGGCCCGGCTACATACTGCGGTGGACGTCGCCCCAGATGATCAAGGAGACCCACAAACCTCTGGGGGGACTGGCGCTACTCCTACATGCAGTGAGCCTCCTCGGCGCCTCCGCCATCCACCTGTCTGT